ATAATATTGTATAAAATGGATATTATTAAATAAATAATAATTTTAAATATTTAAAATTTAATTTATTAATAATATAAATTATATGATCTAATGTAACAATTAAATTAAAAGCAAGATGAAAGGCAGTGTTTTTACTCTTATTAGCACGTGAAACTTATGTAAAAGAGATTTGGATTTTGCATGTTTGTTCAGCGGTGTTTCTATGTTATTTAAACCCATGTTTGAAGGCAAAAAACCATGTTTGATGTCTACGTAGCAGTTCCCATGAGTAAAATATGTGTTACTATGTTGTGAGGCAAATATATATATATATTTGGTAATTTAAGGTATTAAATTTGATTTATAAAAAAATATACTTATTTAATTTTTTGCTATTGTAAAATCGATTTACTACTTTTTAGAATGATTGCTCGTCGAGCATTATTGAACCCTTCTCTCTGAATTTTATTGAAATGTCGCATAGTAACAGACACTTCATTCCTGTTTATGTCACTACTTTTTTTTTTTGAACAGCAAAATAATATATATATTTATAATCGGAGTACAAGGGTACCCCAAACCCACAAAAACAACAATATATGAGAGGCATAAACTTGCAAGAGTGGATTTAAAAACTGTCCAGAAGTGTCGACACGCAAAACAAAGTGTCGACACTAGACCCGTGACGAATTTATGACCTCCGTTGCAGTTTACAACTAACACCCTGTTCATATTGTCAAAAAAAGAACTTCCACAAAACAACCCACTGGCATGCAGAGACATTGAGCATGTATTTACTACAGCTTGATTAAATCAACATAAGGTCTAGGACACACAACTACAGTAAACTACCTGCTCAATGATGCTTTCCAGGAAAGCTGCACTCCCACTAATTTTTAAAGCTCAGCTGAACTCTTTTGTCTTTGAGGCTTAGGGCTGGTTCCAGCATCCACTCGTACAGATTGAAAGAGTAACCCGTAGTCCTGCCCTTAATCCAATTAAAGGATCTTAACTGCACTAGTTCGACAATTCTGTCCACTTCCCACTCCTGTTTATGTCACTACTTAATCCCTATTTTCATCTATCTCCCATCATCTTCTGGGGAACAATTTATTATTTTATTGTATTATTTTAGTCTGTTGCTTAATTAAACATTATTTTTGTGACTTATTGGACCTCTTGAGTCCTATTTTCACT